CAGGGAGCCCGATGCGGGACTCGATCCCGGGACTCCAGGATCATGACCTGAGCCGAAGGCAGTCGCTTAACCAACTGAGCCACCCAGGCGCCCCAAAAGCATTTAATTATTGAAATAGCATCTACATGTGACTTTTAAAAACGGGAAGGGAGAGTACAAAAAGCTTTGGCAGACGAAAACTAAATATAAAGGGGGCAATGCTTTCCAAATCATTCCAATAAACAATGGTTCAACAAACTGAAAAGGGAAAGACATTTCAGCTCTAGGCAGAACACATGTTGAAACACTGATTTGTAAAGTTTAGACACTGGATCCAGGCCACAGAAAGGCACCAACAAATCCCAATTGCGAAGCTTCAAGAGTTCCCATTCAGAATTAAACAGGAACAAGAAGTTTCCTCCCCTTTAGGAAAACTGAGCCATAGTATCTGTTCTATGCTTATAAAGTGGTGGTGAAGCGGGGAGGGTGAGGAAGGGAGTGTGAAGAGAGTGCGAGAAAGCTGATGAGAAGCAGCTGGGGTTTTAAAAGTAACCTGCATGAGATGGGGCAGAAGCGAACATCCTCAAGACCTGATTGCTAGCAGCAAGGCCCTTCTAGGACAACTTGGTCCCTTTCTCACTGATCGCAAAAGCGCATTTTGACACCTGACGGTAGATCGCGATACGCGGCCAGCGGATATACCAGACTGAAAACTCCTGGAAGCACCGAATGTCACACTTGCTTACGCCCGCACCCTCCCAGAGCCTAACCCATTTGTTGAAAGAAGGGAAAACCCTAAGAATGAATGAATGGGATAGAGAAGTCTAGTGAGAAGGCTCGGGCAGGGCCCCATGCTCGGGAGAGCCCCGGACGCCCGCCGGGTGAGGGCAGCGACAGCGTGCCGCGGCGGGGACGCGTCTGGGGACCCTCGGGGCGCACCGCAGGACGCGGACCGCCGTGGGGGCGCGGGGCGCGCCTCGCCGAACAAAGGAGAGGGAGTGGCCTGACAGGGGCGCCCGGCGGGGGCGGAGGCCGCGGGTGCTCACCTCGTCGCCCCACTTGAGCACGTCCTTGTGCCGGTCCTTGACGGCGTGGTAGATGTGCAGGAACTGGAGGATCCCGTGCCGCCGCACGTGGTCGGCGTGGCGCTTGGTCTCCTCCCAGCTCAGCGGCGAGCCCTGGGACAGCAGCCCCATGGCTGCCCCCTCCTCCTTCTCCTCGGGGCTGACGGCGGCCGCTCGCTCAGACGCGAGCCGGACACTCAGCTGCCCGCAGAAGGCGGCGGCGGCAGCGGCTGCTCCGCCCCGCGGGGGCGCCCTTGGGCCGCAGCCGGCGGAGGGACGGTCCGCTCCGCTCCTCTGCGCGGGGTCCTTGCCGCCCAGGTGACCGACTCAGGGGTCCGGCGCGCCGCGCGGACACAGAGGCAGAGGACGGGAGGGCAGGCTGGGCGGCTCTCGGCCCGGCGGCCTCGCCCCTTGCCCGCTCCGGCTCCCGCCCCGCTCCTGCTCCGAGGCGGCAGCGACGGACCCCACAGGCACGGTGCGGCAGCGGCTCTCGCTTCTCTTTACCGGTGTCGTGCACTAGCTTCTTCCTACTTGTGACCAAGACCTGCGCCGCCACAGAGCATGCCCAGTCTTCCTATCGACTCACTTACGGCTCCAGGGCGCGATCCGTCGCTCCGGATTTTAAAGACTACGGGCGGGGGCGGGGAAAGAAGGCGGTGCAGGAGAGGAGGCGTGGCCGAGCGCCCAAAGAGGCTCAAAGGCGGCCTTGGAGGAGGCGTGCGCAGGCGTGGTTGGGGCGGAGTCAAAAGGGCGGCGGTGGGTGGAGTGAGGTCCCGCATGCTTTAGGCAAAGGAGTTACGTAAAAACCTGTGTTCTCTAATCCAAAGAGATAAACTTTGTGTTGCGGAAAAAATTGGTTATTGGAATTAATAACAACCCACTATATTCTTTTTGAGGTGAGAAAAAGCCTCACGCTTATAAAAAACAGATGAGAGGTGCAGGGTATGGTAATAACTCCATAGCTTGGGAGTCAGATGAAACACCTGTTAAATTCTAGTTTCCACTATTTACTGTGACATCTTGGGCACGCTATTTCCGTACCGGTGTAAAATTATATTAATTCTATCTTTTATGGATGTTGTAAGAGTGTGCACGATGCAGACGTTCAGAGTCTATGGCCAATAAATTACCTGGTTATTAAGAGGAATCAATTTGTCTACAAGTTTTCTGTATATACAATGTGTAAATATTACAAGTATTTGTGTAGTCTCTAAATTAATTATTTGATGAGATAAAGTCTTTGGATGGCCCAGACACCATTCATTGCAATGAAAGGGACTTTGACAACATCTCCAGATGGATTTTTTGAAGGAATCATCTCCAAAAGCAAAACCTAATATTCATCCATTATGTGACTAAAATGATGTTCACGTGAGCTTACCAAGGAGAAGATATTAGAAACAACTGGAGTTGACCCTATCCTGGTGGGAAAGAGAAAGGAGGTACCTCACCCCCAGAAATCTGTGTTGACAGAGTGATGATGTGTCACGGAGAGAAAAAGTGACAGCAACTAGATCACACATGTACTGAGGCCAGAAAGTGTGTATTTATTGTGCCCACTTCCATCAACTACAAAGTTAACATTTAGTAAGTACTCATTAACTGCTGAATGGATATAGGGTAATAGGAGTGTCTTCTCCCACACCCCTTCATAGTGGATGTGCCCCTCTCAGGGATTGGGGACATGGAAACCCAAGATCTGGCTGTAATTTCCAGAGTGGAGTGTGTGTATGTAGGGTGTGGGTGGGGGTGGGGCTGTGGGGGTGTTTGAAGCTCAGGAGATGTTTCAATCCCCAGCTCACAGCAAGAATAAAAATCAAGCCTCGTTTTAATTTGTTCACGGCTGACTCAGCAACCTCAGCTTCTGCACCCACTCTTCCTTGTACCCTCTGCACCAATATCACCAGGCTTTCCACCGTTTTTTCCTGCTTGGAATTCTCCACCTGACACATTCCTGTTTATCTGTTGAGTCCCAGTTATTCCTCTCCTTAATTTGGTTGCATTTGTGCATGCATCTCTTTCTACATTAGGATAAAATCATTTTAAAAATATCTCCACACTAGTGACTTCCTCTGGAGAGATGATTTATGCCTTTTGATTTTTTTTTTTTTTTTTAGAAAAGCACTTGTATAAATCTTAGCTTTCTATGGAAGGCAAGGAGTTTGGGGAGCTGGCGGGGCAGTGTTGCTTATGTTTCACATGCAGGTGAGGCATCTAAAAGATCATTTTTTATTCTCAAAATCTCATCTCACATTTGCATAGGCCTGCGTTGTTCAACACAATAGCCATCAACCACATGTGGCTACCGAGCATTTGAAACATGGCTAATTTGACTGTAAAACTGAATTTTAGTTTTATTTTAATCCACTTAAATATAAATTTCAAAACTGATATTCCATTTCATTACTGGAACACTTTTACATAAATTTGGAGCAGGTTGGGAATGTGAATTTACTTTTTTGTCTGTTAATTTTATGACATGGACATACAGATCAAGTATTTCCAATGAAAATTTAGTGGCCTAGTAGATGTACTGTGAGTGTAACACACATACTAGATTCAAAGACAGTACAAAAATAAAAATGTAAATATTTCATTAATAATCTTATATTGACCACATATTGCTGTAACAGTATTTTGGATATATTAAGATACAGTATAGTGCTTAAATTAATTCACCTGCTTCTGTTTAGTTTTTAAAGGTGGTTAATGGGAAATTTAAGATTATCTGTCGCTCACATTCCTCTTAATTGAAACACAGCAGGTGTAGACATTTACACTTTGCAATGCACACACTTTCCTCCTACCCCTGCTGGATTTCCTCACAATACCTGAAGCTGGGCTCTTGGGAGACTATCATCTCCGTTTTAATGGACAGGGTGGTTCAGTAAGAGACTAAGTTCAAGGTTAGCCAAAGCCCTACGTGGTACTGAATGTAGTGAGAGTTAACACTGTAATTTGAGTCATTCAGCCACAGGTTCCATTTGACACAAAAGGGGGCCTCTCCTACCCGAAATCTGAGCCAGTACCCTGAAGAGCCCCCGGGCTCTGTTCAATCTCAAATCAGGTGCAGCATGGTGGCACTATCGGTCAGTTATGTCAAAGTTAAACCACGGCCGCCACAATGCCTTTACCAACTGCTGTTGCGGGGCGGGAAGAAACCCACCACAGATCAACAGAAGTCACATTCAACGACAATCAATCCCCTCTATTTGACAGTGTTTTTCATTTTTAGGTTTACTTCTCCTTCAGTACTTCTACGAGTAGGTTTTCAGCGACCAGCCCCGGACAGATCTTTTACAGGTTTAATGATCGCTAAGGGGAAAAGGCTCTAGTAGACTGCAGAAGCAGCTCTTCTCCAAGCCTTGCCCAACGCCGGATTCCTCTTCACATCTTCCGCGGAAAAAACCTGGACTCAGTGGGGCTGAACCTACCATTGCCAGCGGCGATCCAGACAACGCTTCCCCGCCTCCTACCCCGGCGACAGCCGCAAGCCCCGCCTCCAGGGCCGCCCGGAAAACCCGGACCGTGGAGCTAGGAGGCTGGCGACTCGGCGCCACCGCGGGGCCGAGCTGAGCATGCTCGAAGAGCGGCTCAGTCGCGGGAGGAAGCGGCGCGGGCCGCGGGGGCTGCACGCCGCGTCGTTGTTGTGATCCAGCCCCCGCCACGTGACTGCGCGGGGCCCGCCTCCAGACGCGCGGTGCCGCCTCCCAGTGACTCAGCACTTTGTGCCGGTTCCGTGCGAGAGGTCAATGCCGGGGATCCTGCTCGGGGGCAAAGTGACGGCCCTCCACTCTTCACACTCCCCCACCCCAACCCCCACCTCGGCTGCTGTTCAGAGTGTTGCAGCAGCCATTTCAGACTCGTTCATTTTCCGGCCTCCCCGCAAGGAGGAAAAAATACATTTCCCTGTAGTCACGCCGGTTCCAATTTTCCCTGAGTCAGCAGCTCCGCAGAGATCAACTGAAGAAAGCAGAAGGGTTGTGCCTAAGGGTCTCTGAGGAAGAAATTTTGCAGGTTCAGGCTACTTGCGGTCATCTGCCCCAGCCCTTACTGTTCTGTTGGCTTGAACATCCCTGAGATGCTCTCCCGGGGGTCTCAATAATTTACTCTTCATGGTGCACCTGCTTTACGCCAAGCACTTTGATCTGGAATACATAGAATAACCCTGCTTGTTGCCATATTTTATAGATAAGGCGACCGAGATCCAGTAATAGTAAATAACAGGTAGTGGCGATGCAGGGATCTGAACTCCGGTGTACTTTCTACTGTACCTCACAGGCTGGGTGAAGCTGAGGGCTTCTTTTTGGGGGCTTTTCATTCTAACTCCACTAAGCCCTCCTCTCCTTTGACACTCCCTTGCCCCCAAAAGACCTCTGTTCAGACAGTGAGGCGTTTACGATTTTCGTGCTTTGTATTTTAACTAATTGGTAGAAACAAACAGCTATCTCTCAAGTGTACACGGTACAAAATGCAAAAAGGATTATTTTCCCCTACCATTGCATTATACTTGGAATTTGATTGGACTACATTGAAGAAGTACCCCCAGGGCTTTATCATAGAAGCGCGGTATCCAAAAGACTGGTCTTCACCCTAGCTCAGGGTAACCTGCCCACCTGTGGTGTTCTTTATCATCAGGGACCCTTCCTTCTCCACCTGTTCAAATGAGGTTTCCCTTCCAACCTACACATTCTCTGATGTCAATGCTACTAAATTAGTTGAAAAAGTGCAAATCTTTTTATATTATGTAGTATTTCCAATGCATGTTGCTGAGATGTGCTATTGTCATTCCAAGTCAACAAAACACAGAACCTCTGTCAACTTGGTTTTTAAAGCTGACTTTTAGTTCATAGGGATTTTTCTAAAGTATAAACATGCTTATTTTCATGTAGATTTGCAAAAGGTCTGTTCTGCCAAGTGAAGGCCTTTAATTAAGATGGGGAGATCTTGAATGTGTAAAGAAGATGGGTAGGAGTGTGTGGGGGGGATTAAAGATATGGGAACAAGAGAGGATGCCTTTGGAAACAAGATCTCTCAGGAGGCATAATAGAATACAAAGCACATGTCAAGTGGTGAAATTTTCCTAACAGTATCATGGCCTTCTTGTGAGATGCTAGGAAAGAAGATGAGGATGCCAAGATTGATGTGTTGGGGCAGGAAAGGTAATGGCGGAGTCCAGTAGACTCCCACTTTTTCAGTGGAGTATGGTTAAAGAAACACAACTTTTTACTACAGACATTTCCAAACAAGCACAAAAAAGTACAGAGGACATAGTGTAATACACCTATTGTAACTATTACCCATCTTCGGTATCACCACATGGCTAATCTCATTTCAGGTATTCACTCCCTCCCAGTAATTTAAAGCAAATCTCACTGGTGTATGATCTCAGGTAGTTAGCTCTAAGTGAGGAATGTAAAAGACAATTTGAGCAATTGGTATAAGGGATGATTCAAGAAGATGAAAAGGAATGAGCAATAGGCTAATCCCTTACTGGGAATCAATTTCCTTTGTCCTGAAATTGAAGATTGGTGTTAACCGATTGGTTTTATTCCAAGTTTTCTAGCTATCGTTGTAGTTTATGTGACCC